CTTTGCAGTTGACTTTTCCAATGCTACAAGATTGTGACTAGTACTTTTTAATAATTTTGTCCCCTGTATGTTCTACTACATTCATGAATGTATTTGCAGCTCATATAAATACATAGGTAGATGATTTTGTTGTTAGGTGCTCTCTAGTTGGCTCTGACTCTTAGTAACCCTATGTATAACAGAAACAACATGGCCCAATTGTGTGCCATCCTCACTATCCTTGCTATATCTGAGCTCATTGTTGCAGCCACTGTGTTAATCCATCTCGTTGAGGGTCTTCACCTTTTTCGCTGACCCTCTACTTTACCAAGCATGATATCCTTCTCTCGCTGACCCTCTACTTTACCAAGCATGATATCCTTCTCTCACTGACCCTCTACTTTACCAAGCATGATATCCTTCTCTAGGGAATGGTCCTTTCTGACAACATGACTTTTTTACTTACCTCTCCCTTTTTATTTGTTTTCTATACATCGTATTACTTTTTTGTTCCTCTGTTCTCTCATTACTACTTTCGTTTGTGTAAATAGATGTTTTCTAGTATACCATTTTACACTAGTGTACCATTTATTGCTGTTGTAGTTAAGGTTATATGTCAGCTTGCCCTGGGCCTGGTTTTGAGTGGCTGGTTAGCTGGTGGTAGTTATTCTCCATGATGAGATTGGTAATCAACTATGGTGGAATCTGCTGCGAGCAGTTGAGTAGCAGCTTTAGTGATATGATCTGCTTCTTGTATATAAGGAAGAAGCTTTAGGAATGGTCTCTCGCTTTTCAGCACACTTTGACCTTGCACGTAGCTGAGTCTTCATTCAGCAGCCTGGCATGCTCTGCTGACCCTGCAACTTTTAATAGACTTGAATCAATGGCCTGCAGTGTGGTTTGGTGATATCAGGACATGCCATTTTATTTGTCGACCTGGGGCTTGTTACCCTCAGCAGCCAGTAGCTACCTGAGTGAAGAGATGCCTGTACTTTCAGCGGGCAGGGAGCAAGAGGCAGAGCTGAAGCCCACTGCTGAAGGGCTTTCACCCAGCCCCTAGAGTCTGGTACTTTCAACTCAGACTTCTAGCCTCCAAAACTGTAAGAGAATAAACTCCTGTTTGTTAATGCCATACCATTTGTGGTATTTCTGTTGGAGCAGTACTAGGTTAACCAAAACAATGACCAAAGTAGGTGAGATGAAGTCTAGCCATTCTCACTTCCAAGAAGTATTCTGGCTGCATTTCTTCCAGGGCACATTTGTTCTTTCTTCTGGCAGTCCATAGTAACTTCATTATTCTTCACCAACAGCACAATTCAAAAGCATCACTCTTCTTCACTCTTCCTTATTTATTGTACCACTTTCACATGCATATGAAACAAACAAACAAAAAAAACTCACTGCCATTGAGTCGGATCCAACTTATAGCGACCCCTCCTTGAGTTTCCAAGGTGGTATCACTATGGAAGTAGATTGCCCGACCTTCCTGCCAAAGAGTGGCTGGTGGATTTGAACTGCCAGCCTTCTGGTTAATGGTCAGATGCCTTAGGCACTACGCTACCAGAGCTCCCACATGAAGCTATTAAAAATACCATGGCTTGGGTTAGGCATACCGTAGTTTTCAGAGAAACATCTTTGCTCATCAGCACTTTAAAGAGATCTGCAGCACATTTGCCCAGTGCAATATGATGTCTGATTTTTTGACTGATGCTTCCATGGTGTTGATTGTAATATGAAATCTTTGACAACTTCAGTCTTTTCTCCATTTATCATGATGCTGGTTATTGGTCCAGTTGTGAGGACTTTTGTTTTCTTTATACTGATGCGTAATCCATGCTGCAGACTGTAGTCTTTAATCTTCGTCAGTAAGTCCTTCAAGTCATCTTCACTTTCAGCAAGCAAAGTTGTGTTGTCTGCATATTGCAGGTTGTTAATGAGTCTTCCTCCAATCCCGATGCCACGTTCTTCATATATTCTAGCTTCTCAGATTATTTGCTCAGTATACAGATTGAATAAATATACTGAAAGGATACCCTGACACACACCCTTCTTGATTTTAAACTATACAGTATCCCCTTGTTCTGTTAGAACAACAGCCTCCTGGTCTGTGTGCACATTCCTCATGAGCATAATTAAGTGTTCTGGAATTCCCATTCTTCTCATTGTTATCCATAATTTGTTAAGATCTATGCAATTGAATGCTTTGGCATAGTCACTACAACACAGGTAAACATCTTTCTGGTATTTGCTTTCAGCCAAGATCCGTGTGACATCAGCAGTGATATTCCTCGTTCCACTTCCTCTTTTGAATCCAGAGATAGCCTCTGTTAAACCTGTTTATATTCATGGGTATGATCTCATTTACCATCCCACTCCTGTTTAGATTGAGTGAGTGTCTATGCATCCACTCCTAAATTATTGTTAGTACTATTATTGCAGGGTTGTGTATGTAATATTCGCCTTTGTTGCCTTTAACTCTCGTACTCCTCTCTGTTTCTTCCGCTGACTTGTTCATTTTGTGCTGACCTCCTCTTTATTGTATATTGCCTTTCCCTTCACCCAGATTAATACACATGTGTACCCTCTAGTTGGTGACTTCCCCTCACTTCCCCTCCCACCCTTGGTATCCTTAAAAGAACAATTCTTCTTGTGTATAAACCTTCTCTTAACTTTTTACAGTAGTGATCTCATACAATAATTGTCCTTTTGTAATGACTAATTTCATTCAGCATAATGTCTTCTGGGTTCATCCATGTCATGAGTTATTTGCAGATTCATCATTAATTCTTTAATGTTGACTTGGTT